CAAAACCAATAATGAACAAAAAAACACACACACACACACACACACACATTACACAATTGGCACAACACAACAGGATGTCCAGAGACATTGTTGGGCGGCATTTCTAGAATCATTAAACACACAATAAATTCAAAGGCTCGTCGGAGCCCAAGCTCCCCCGAGGCCAATCTCATCAGAGCCCAAGCTTTCCCGAGCCCAAACTCACCGAAGCCCAAGCTCTCCCGAGCCCAAATTCACCGGAGCCCAAGCTCTCCCGAGCCCAAGCTCATATGAGCTCAACCTCTCCCGAGCCCAAGCTCATCTGAGCTCAACCTCTCCCGAGCCCTAGCTCTTCTGAGCCCAGGCTCACCTAAGGTCAATCTCATCTGAGGTCAACCTTTTCCGAGCCCAAGCTTGCCAAAGGCCAAACTCTCCCAAGCTCAAGCTCGCCATAGCCCAAGTTCTCCTGAGCTAAAAGTTCAAAGGTCGCGTGATGTAATCAAGTGAAGTAACCGATGCTAATTGAAGACATTGAATAATTGAAAATCAATTCTCATTGATTATTTATCAGTTTTAACTCATAAAAAGGTGAAGAGCCTCATTGTAATTAAGAGAGAATAAACTCTCGAATTAATGAGAGAATTGAACTCCCTCAATCTTAATGTACTATAAATTCTCTTAATTTGAGAGGAAAAGACGGACACTAATTTCTGAATACAATTGCCTTGTGATTGTCTTCATTTTGTTTTTGTTATTCCTTCAGAGGTTTTTTGTGTTCTTCAAGTGTTCTTCTAATTTCCTTAGATAATTTGCTTATTCAATCCGAATTATTAGTCTACAGACATTGGATAAGTGTTGGATGAAATTTTGCTCCAACATTTTTGGCATTAGAATGAGGGCCCTACCGGCATTAAAATTTTTCTATCTCATTGCTAAGTCATTTTCAGGTATGGCGAGTGACCAAGTCTCAAGTGCTTAACATACCCATACTAAGGGCACCCAAACAAGGGGACTCGGCACTAATCCTGAAAAGGCACCACGTGCTCCTCGTCCACCAACACGCACTGATAGGATTAAAGCACGAGTGGACATGTTGGCAGGGATGGTGAATCAGCTTATCACTACCTTTAACACGGTTCGTCCAGCAAACAACCAACAAAGTGGGCCTGTAAATTCTCAGAGTACTAGGAGTGGGCGTAGCCATCGTCAGAGCCACCAGAATAAAGGTGGGGGTCAATCCAATAGGAATCAACCAAGGGACTTGCCCGAGCCGCAGGACCACGTCAGCCACCTAGGCATCAAAATGCTTTGTCACGGATTAGGAGTCATTACGATGCAACTGAAAGAACTAGGACATCGGTGTTTGACAGGATAAAAGCTAACCGTAATAGTGAAGAAGTTATTAGCACCTGGACACCTGGGTCTGATGATTTCACCACTATTGATTTGCGGGATCGACTCAACGCACGAAGGAATGTATAAGCAATTGTACCCATGCCCTCAAACAACCAGGCAACTCAAAACAGGAGTAGGATGAGAGCCGAAATACCACGATCTTATCGAAGCCAAGTAAATAGGGTGAACCAGAACTGAAACTGACATGATAATAGATGAGGCATGAGTCAATCCAACCGGAGCACCCATGAGGAACAACTCGAGCAACAGCTCAAAATGATACGAAGGCGAATGGATGACATAGAAGCCGGCAGGAATTTGCCGGAAGGTGTAAGAGACTTGTTAGATGAAACAAAGCCGCCATTCATTGAGGACATCATGGTAGATGAATTCCCTACTGATTCCCATCAAGTAGTTTGATAGGAAAGAGAATCCAATAGGACATATACATGGATATAGCACATGGATGCGAATTCGGGGAGCCACACAAGCTTAGATGTGCCAAGCATTTTCTTTGACGCTTACTGGGCCGGCGCTTCAATGGTTTCAACAATTAGAGCCAATGTTAATTATTTCGTTTAACCAGCTGAAACAACAATTTGTAAGACTATTTGTGATAGTGAAAACTCATAAGAAAGATAAGCTTTATGTGTTCTCCCTTAAGCAAGGAGCTGATGAATCATTAAAAGCCTACATTAAACGTTTCAGCCAGGAAATAAATTATGTGGAAGGATACACTGATAGTGATGCTGTGGCCGCAATTCCGGAAGGGCTTCAGGAATGTGATATGATGAAGTCAATTTGTAAAAAATAACCAAAAACCTTCACCGATCTCGTGATTTGAGCTCAAAAGTTCATTAGCGCTGAAGAATACATGCGCAATCAGAGAGGACAATCTCAAACGGATCAATCAAAAAATGATGGAAAGCGGAAGGTAGAAGAATGATCTAAAGGATTAGAAGCAAAAAAGCAAAAGTCAGAGGCATAACAAGACGTGAACAAGTCCAAGACTGCCTTAACGCAAAAGTTCTAAGCGTACGCTCCACCAGATATGATAAGGGCTTACACACCCTTGAATACGACAATGGCACAAATTTTAATGCAGATTCAACATCAGAATTTGCTGACTCCTCCAGCCCTTATGAAGGGAGATCCTAACAAGAGGGATACAAGTAAATATTGTTACTTTCATAAGAACTATAGCCATGACACCTTAAGTTGCTTTCAATTAAAAGGACATATTAAGGCACTTATTCAACAAGGCCAGTTGCAGGAGTTTGTGGATCGAGTGATAGAAGAGAGAAGAATTGCACTCCCGACAATAATGGGTATAATTCTGCGCTGAATGAGGTTAGGACCATTTTCGGGGGATCGGAAACTGGTGATTCCATGTGGGCTCAGAACCTGTATGCTCGAGAAGCTAAAGGTCTCGATTGTGGCCAATTTGTAAATATGACGGAACATGTCGTAAAATTTACAAAGATGGAGAACATCGCTATAACCTTCACAGATGAGGAGGCAAGGAAGTTGCTTCATCCACATAACGATGCCATAGTTGTGTCTTTGCAAGTGGCAAATAGCTTAGTCCACCGGATTTTGATCGACAATGAGAGTTCAGCGGATATACTATTCAAGGATGCTTTAACCAAGATTAACCTAGGTGGAGCAAAGTTAACACTCGTGAACACCCCACTCCAAAGCTTTACTGGAGCATGCATTCACGCTGAAGGAATGATAACACTCCCAGTTACTATGGGAGAATGGGAGACAAAGGTGACAAGAGTGGTAAATTTTTTGGTTGTAGAACAACCATCTGCTTACAATGCCATTATAGGGCGACCAACTTTGAATGCAATGAGAGAGATAACTTCGACATATCAACTAATGATGAAGTTTCAAACAAAGAATAGCATTGGAGTGGTGGTCGGGAGCTAAAAAGATGCACGAATCTGCTACGTGAAAGTAACCAATGGAAAGGTTGAATCGAAAGGATAGGAAGTTTAGAAAAGTGCTGACACATATTTAAAATGTTAAGCACCTCAAGAAGTATTATCAATATATTTAAAATGACACATAATTTCTTCTTTTAATATTTTCTTTCTCATTTTGTTCAATATGACAAAGAAAATGGGGGGATAAAAGTGTATCAATTCAAAAAAAAAAGAGAAAAAGAAAAAAGAGCTTTGGCTCAGAAAAACCTGACCCCAAGTAGGCACAGGAAAATAAAAGAAAAATGGAACAATCCGACCCTAGGTGGGCACGGGAAAATTCAAAGAGTTTTAGCTTAGAAAAACCCGACCGCAAGTAGGCTCAGGAAAATAAAAGAAAAAGGGAATAATCCGACCCTAGGTGGGCACGGAAAAATCCAAAGAGCTTTAGCTCAGAAAAACCTGACTCTAAGTGGGCTTAGGAAAATAAAAAAAAAGAGCTTCGGCTCGAAAAAACCCGATCCCAAGTGGGCATGGGAAAATAAAAAAAGTGTTTCGGCTCGGAAAAACCCGACTCCAAGTGGGCATGGGAAAATAAAAAAAAAATCTTTGGCTCGGAAAAACCCGACCCCAAGTGGGCACGGCAAAATAAGAAAGGAAAAAAAAGAAAAAAAGGCTTCAGCTTAGAAAAACTCGACCCCAAGTGGGCACGAGAAAATCCTAAACCGAGGGAGAAACTTGGCTAAAAAGAAAACCTGACCCCAGATGGGCACGAGATAACTCTAAACCAAAAAAGAAAATATTTTAGCTAGTATACATTGATAAAATGTAGCAATTGCAAAGAAAAAAAAATTATTATGTTGCAAGAAAGATAACAAAAAAACAAGTCTTAATAAAAAAAATGCGAGCCAACCATGTCTAAGTACACATGAGCAAGCATGAAGAATAGAGTGCAGAGTTAAAAAAAAAAAAGCTTCTAGGTGTTGCTTGGTGGATCGATACTTGATGATTTTTCCAAATTCTTCATAGGTTCAATCATCTCATCATCAGGATTGAAGTCATTTGGTGTAGATGCCGAAGGAGTCTAACAACATGAGAACTACTAAGAGGATTAAATGAGAGATTAAGGTCAAGGTCTTTGTTATAGAAAATGATTACCTTCTTGACTTCTTCGTAGCCTTTTCAAAACTCGTCTTCAGCAAGTTCGACTTTATCAGCCTCGTACTTGGCATGACAGAATTCCAAATCTTTCTTCACTTGCTCGAGTTCCTCAAAGAGATATCAAGAGCAATTTTAATCTCCACAAGAGTCTTCTTATCATTTTTAGAAGAAGTCAAAAGAGCATTATATTTAACCTTCATTCTAGCGCTAAAAGTATTAGAACAAAATTTTATCAAACACTATCTAACGTCTCTAGACTAATGATTTAAATTGAATAATTAAATTATTTAAAAAAATTAAAAAAAATACGCATTTCTGAATATAATTATTTTATAATTATTTTTATTTTTTATTTTGTTATTCCTTCAGTGATATTTTATATTTTTTGAGTGTTCTTTTAAAAACGTTGGATAAATATCGGAGGAAATTTTACTCGAGACATCACCATTATTAAACGTCCCACTCCATTTTATTTTCTTTTGCATGCCTGAAACAAACAAAAGTACCACGCCTTGTGTGGGGACTTTACTATAATATTACCTTTCACCCACACTTCTCTCTCTCTCTCTCTCTCTCTCTCTTATCTGACATCTCCAAAGCTTCCACCGGCGGAGTCATCCAAAGAGCAAAAGACTGGGGAAAAGCCAATAAAAGCCCATCTATCCAAAACCCACAAAAACCTTAAAATCATCTCTAATGCCCATTTGAGCTTTTTCTCCATGTCCTTTATGTCTCTCTCTCTCTGAAAAAAAAAAAAAAAAAAGACGAAAGAAAACAAGGGATGGTATTTAGGATTCATCACCCTCTGCAAAGCACACTCTCTCTCTCTCTCTCTAACATTTAATGCTTTCTCAGACTCGTCATAATCATCATCATCTCCTCATGTCTTTTTTACTGCCGTTGATCACACACTCTCACCTTTCTTTGTCTCGTTTCCTCCGCCATTTTTAATTACACTTTTTTTCCTCTCTCTCTCCGCTCAGATGCCAATGCCCTGAGACTAAACGACAACAAAAACACAAACAACTGAGGTCATTTTATTCTCGCGTTTCATGGCAACAACAACAACCACTAAAACAACAAAAGCTCACTTTAATAATAATAATAATAAAGCCCAAACCCAACACGCCAAGCCCAAACGCCGTAAGTGCAGAGGAACCACGATCTCCACCGCCGCCGCCGAATTCTCCTGCCACGTCAGCCACCCGACAGTCGTCTCCACCGACAACACGTGGTGCTTCCCCGCCGCCAAGCCCGCCGTCCCGCCTCCTCCGCCTCCGCCGCCGTCACCACCCACGCTGCCACGTCAGCGAGTCCAGACGGTCACGACGGCGTCGTATCAGTCCCCGTCTCCGTGCTCGTCGCCGTCGACTTTCAGGATCCGGTTCTCCCCCGGCAGCCTCTCTCCGGTCATGGACTTCACCACCGCCGTCAACGGCGCCGGCAGCGGAAATGGACACGGAAGCTCCGGAGGGCACCACAGCCACAACCAGAACGATTTCGACCTCCAGCAAGTCCACCCCCGTCCTCCCCGCCGGGCTGCTGACCCCAATGTCGCCGCCGCCGCCGACGGACAAGACCCGATCGAGTCCGACGCTGTTCGAGATGATGGCGAGCGAGCCCGATGTCCATCCGCGGACTCAGATCGAATCGACCAACGTCGCTCTCACCTCGCAGAGAAACCCTAGCGGCGTCTTATTGACGGTCCAGGACAAGCAGGCCATGGCGATGCAGCGGATTTCGGAGATTCTCAGCTCCCGGAGCCCGGGGAACCAGTTCAACGACTCGTCGTCGAGCGACATCAAGCTTACGCTCAGCTCCAGGGACGGAATCAGCGTCTCGATGAACGTTCACCGCCAGATTCTGGTCGCACACAGCCGGTTCTTCGCCGTGAAGCTCTCCGATCGGTGGGCGAAGCAGCAGCGGTGGGCGGCGGGCAATACGGGGTCGTCGGCGTCGCCGCACATTGTGGAGATCGCGGATTGCGAGGATGTGGAGGTTTACATTGAGACTCTGAGATTGATGTATTGCAAGGATCTGAAGAAGAAGCTAATGAAGGAGGATGTTCCCAAAGTTCTTGGCATTTTGAAGGTAACAAAACCACATAATCTTGTCAATTTGTTGTTGGGATTTTTGTGGCCCTTTTAAATTTTTTTATTTTTTATTTTTTGGTTCTTTCTCTGTGTCGTAGGAGACTCTAGACTATGGTTTATAGGTATGGAAATAGTACATATGAATTTTGGAAAATTAACTATTTGGGTCTTTGAGGAACTTGGTCTAATTCAACAACTATTGAAATGACAATCTAAATATTGTCAAGTTTTTACCTGTCATATTTAAAAGTCGACAACAATGAATAGAAGTGTTCCATTGGAAATGGGGAGAGATGTTTGAATTTTGAGTGTCTGGTGTGTGCTTTAGGTTTCGGCTGCAATTGGGTTTGATGCCGGGGTCATGTCTTGTTTGGAGTACTTAGAAGCTGCACCATGGGCCGAGGATGAAGAAGAGAAGGTGGCATCGCTTTTGTCAGAGCTCCGGCTTGAAGGCGTTGGAGTGGGGGAAGTTCTGAAAAGGGTTTCAATTGAAGTAGCTAATAATGGGGCTGAAGAGGGAAATGAAAATGAGGAGGTGCTTCTCAAGCTTTTACATGTAGTTCTTGAGGGCAAAGATGAGAAGGCGAGGAGGGAGATGAAGGGATTGGTGTTGAAGATGCTTCGCGAGAATGCATCGCATAATGATCTCAGGAAAGAGTCTTTGTACTCGGCTTGTGAAGGGTGCTTGAAGTTGCTCCGACAACATTTTCTGCGAGCAGCAGAATCAGACCTCAAAGATGTGGGTCAGATTGCAAGGCAAGCGGATAATTTGCATTGGATTCTTGATATCTTGATTGATAGGCAGATAGCTGAGGATTTCTTGAAAACGTGGGCGTCCCAAACTGAACTCGCTGAGGCACATTTAAAAGTGCCTGCAATTCATAGGTATGAGGTTAGCAGGGTTACAGCACGCCTGTTTGTTGGCATTGGGAAAGGGCAGCTATTGGCATCTAAAGATGTGAGAGGCTTGCTTTTGCGTACATGGTTGGTGCCATTTTATGATGACTTTGGGTGGATGAGAAGGGCGTCGAGAGGGCTTGATCGACATTTGATTGAGGATGGTCTTAGCAACACAATTCTTACTCTTCCGTTAGCTTGGCAACAAGATATTTTGCTTGCTTGGTTTAATCGGTTCTTGAACTCCGGTGAAGATTGCCCGAACATACAAAGAGGGTTTGAAGTTTGGTGGAGAAGGGCCTTTTGGAGACGTAGTGGGGAGCAGGAAAGGACACGATCTTTACGAATTACAACTGCTACAATTGAGAACTCGTAGAAGTTTATAGTTCCACGATTGCAGGAAAGAAGGCACTTTCATGGGTCTGTCTCCCTTTACCTCCTTCTGCTGATTATTGCTTCCATTTTTTCTATACTTGATTACTTTGTTGGTCTTCTTTCTTCCTAAACCAAGGTGGTTTTTCCTTACAGAGGAATTTGACTTCATATTTACCTGTAGTATTTTCTTTTTGACTGGATGTAGCTTGGTTTAGTTTGGAAGAAGATTCATGATATGTAGTGGTGAAACTTTTTTTTTTTTTTTTTTTTGGTTAATGATACTCTGGATTCTGGAACAGCTACTTGGCAAGTTGGTTCTCAAAATCTTGAACCTTTTCCTCTCGTACTAGGTGTTCTGTGTGATTTGTTTCGTTACGAGGGTCCCAGATATTTATCAATATGGAGTTAAATTTCGTCTGATGTACATCTTAAGCCAAGTTATATTCCACATCTTGAAGTAAACAGGCTTCTGTAAGAGTTTGTAACCTTGTAGACGTTAGCATTACCCTTTGGTAAACCACTTTAATGATTGTTGGTGGGATTTAGGTCTGGATCTTTTGATAGACCACATCTAACCTTGTAGATGTTTTTTCTTGCTCATCCAGTCACCACTAGAATAGCTCTTAAAGTTCAAACTTGCAAAATATTGAAATGGTCATGGTTGGATTTTTATTGCGTAATTGTAAGGCTTTGATTCCCTTGGGCAAAACACTACTCTGTATTTTCTTCTGGCTTGAACTTTTTACATATTTATGTATTTAGTCAGAGTTGGCTGGAAAATTGGCTCATTTATTTTTAGGACAGTAGCATCTAAAACTTGATTTCCGTGCAGTTTCGAAGAAAAAGCAAAGGGTACAGTGTTGGGTGAATAATTTAGAAAGGAGTTCCAAGGTATTGGAAATTAGAGTTTTTTTTTACTGCTTTCTGCTTTGGTAAGTTGAGATGGTAAATTTTGCCAATTCTAACCCAGCAAGCCAACATGTTGCAGGTGAAGATGCAAAGAATAGCGGTAGTTTTCACTTGTATTTAATCAAAACCCCAACACAACTTCAACACATTTCGGCTTACGTGTGTTATTTGATTGTAGAGAAATTATGTCAAAGATGGTAAGAACGTTTTCTTATGATTGTTCTAATGTAATTCTTTTTTCTTTTCTTTTTGCGGGATTTGTACAAGAGGAAAAGGAATAATATCTCTGGCGATTTCTTGTTGAAATAAACTTTTTTTTTCCCTTCCGAATCTTTTAGCCCAGCTTTCACCGTTTCACGTGTTTCAAACGTACATGGTATTCTCCGCTTCGTTGTTTGGCTTATCCTAGTCAGAAAGTAATAATAGCAAACTAATGGACAAAAAAAGGTAAAAAAGTTATATGCTCAAATGCTTTTTTAAAAGTATTTGAAGATATATAGTTGCTTAAAAAAACATAAAAAATAAAAAACTAAGCGGAGATTTTTTTCATGTACCAAATTTGGTCTATAAACAGAAAACATATTTAATCAACGAGGAATACAGTCCATAGAAATATCGTCGTTAAATGCATACAGTTAAACAAACAAGTGGAAACCAACAATTACCTATAAAAACAACTGTAACTCAAAACAAAAGACATCAACAGGAAAACGACAATGTTATGAAAACCAGGGTAGCCTTGATGACAAGAATACTAGAAACAGACAGCAAAGTACAAACAATACTAACTTGAGAAACAGATGGTGTGAATCTGGAAAAACACATTTAACCTGAGAAAACGATGATAAATAAAGCTAGAAAAAAGACACGAAAACAACATCAAAGTACAAAGCCCGAATGAACGACATCAACTGAGGAAGGGCACGAGATAGAAGGCAATAATACCTTAAAAACGATAAGAATACTATAAACAGGAATCAAAGTACAAACGATAATAAGACCATCTATAATGCTAATGTTAATGCTAATGGTATATTTAACATCAAAAAATATAATATAGTATGTTATTTTTATTTCTACTCTAATGCATAATGCTATTTGAAATGTTATATTTGTCTTTTTCGTAATCATTAAGCTTTAAAGTTATAAAAGTAAACTTTTATTTTTAAAATAATTAAAAAATATAAAAGTTGCAATGATTATATGAAAAAGTAAACATTTCGATCAATAGCAATTAAATGTTAAATTTCTCATATGTTATACTTGGTGAAAATTTACCACAAAGTATAACATATGAGAAATTTAACCCAATAAATAACATTGCATTGAAGTAGTTTTTACATTAAATGTTAAATTTACAATTAACACTTCAAATATAGTATTGCATTAAAGATGTTTGCATTTACGGGAAAAACCCTTGTTGTAAATGTTTATTACTTATGATAATATAATAATAAAGACCTTTTCATAAAAATGTGCTGTTTTTAGAAAAATGGAAAAAAAAAAAAAAAAAAAAAAAAAACTATTTGTACAATGGCTTGAGAAAAAAAGTAACTGAATAGAGCGAGTTAATTTTATCTGCTGTAGTAAGCGAAGTAATACTCACATCTCAATTCTTGGTGTCCCTGTACTTGAGGTAGAGCTAAGACAAGAAAATGTGATTTTCACTCAACTGTGAAATATGTAATTATGGATTTGCATGATCACACCTCAGGTTTAATTCTCTTTAGGGATATTTACCTGTATTTTAGGTTTATTCAAAAACTATACATTCAGTCTTTTATCACATTAAATATATACTTTCAAATTAAATTTAATACCTAAATTTAGACTTTTCCACAGTCAACTCTCGATTTTAACCTTAAAATACCTAAAATACCCTTAAATAAAAATAAAAAAAAAACAAAATAAATTGTATAGTTACGGTTTTAACCTCAAAAATATGCAAAATGCCATTCAAATGAGTTTTTTTTTTAATTATTTTTTTGTAATATTGTAAAGTTTTAATTTTTTTTTCCCTCTATTTCTTAAAGATTGTTTGGTCATTTTAAAGGTCTAAATCAATTATTAACCAAGATAAGGTATAGATTTGTATATTAAATCTAATTTGAATGTATACATTTGATGAGATAAAAAATCGAATGTATATATTTTAAATAAACTTAAAACACAAGGTATAAAAAAGGTAATAAATATCCCATAATTGAAATTTAACGAAAGCCATCAAAGACAAAACGAAATGCATAATAAAAACGACAATAGTAGCCTAACGAAACGACAATCATTTAAAAACAACAATAAATTTAAAACATGAATACTTTTCGACATAAAATATGGAAATGACAATTATCATACACAATGACTGAATATAGAAACCACATTTAACCTCAGAGAACAAGAGGAAGCTATAAAAAGAGAGAACAATATCACACCGAACGGGTAACAAAAGCTAAACAACATAGAAGTGCTAACCGACATATACTGTAAAACGACATTAAATCCAAATGGCTGAATAAAAGTGGGAAATGAAAACAGTCGTAAAAGCTTTCGTAAAAAATAAAAATAAAAAAAATCCTAAAACAAGGATGAATGAAACAAAGAAAACGAATTTCATGGACAAAAACTTAATCAAACGACATTAACGGAAAAGACGCAGCAACTCTAGCGAATGGCAAGAATATGCCCATTCTACGCTAAAATGTTGTTGGTCTCAAGATGACAGAAAAAGCGTTTGCGTGGTATTTGCTCAAAGTTCCAACTCAACTTGAATCGATCAACAAAGTCATTTCAGCTAAATTCAAGTTTAACTATGCCTTCTGTGCTAATCTGTATTATCTGATAGAAAAGTAATCATGCTGGGTTTTATGGTCAAGACTTAGGAGGCGCACATTCCCTGTTTTTCTTAGAACACTACAATCCATCATAACATTACAATCCAAAACAAAGTCCATTAAAAGCTATAAGTAAAAATCTTGATCCTTCATCAGCTCTGCTTCAATGCATATATACAAAATTATAGAACACCACTACTTCTAGCCGCCGCCTTTTTTTTGTTTTTTTGAAAATACATCACTAGGAATTTTCTGTTGATAGACTGCGTATGTTCCTTTCACAATCTACCAAATGTTTAGTATTATTCTCTGGTGTTTTTCTTACTGATGAGATGAGCTCCACAAATCAGAAAGTAATAATTACATAAACTATGTAGTTAAAGAAACAAAAGGTAAATACTTAAGATTTAAGAATACTGGGGAGTTCAAATTTTCCATTGGTTTTAAAAAGTTCACACTACAGGAAGAGCGCTCGAAAGGTATTCATTATATAAATGATAATTACTACATAAAATAGTATAAGACAGCAAGTTGGGGATGTAGCTCAGATGGTAGAGCGCTCGCTTAGCATGCGAGAGGCACGGGGATCGATACCCCGCATTTTTTGAAAATACATCACTAGGAATTTTCTGTTGATAGACTGCGTATGTTCCTTTCACAATCTACCAAATGTTTAGTATTATTCTCTGGTGTTTTTCTTACTGATGAGATGAGCTCCACAAATCAGAAAGTAATAATTACATAAACTATGTAGTTAAAGAAACAAAAGGTAAATACTTAAGATTTAAGAATACTGGGAGTTCAAATTTTCCATTGGTTTTGAAAAGTTCACACTAGAGGAAGAGCGCTCGAAAGGTATTCATTATATAAATGATAATTACTACATAAAATAGTATAAGACAGCAAGTTGGGGATGTAGCTCAAATGGTAGAGCGCTCGCTTAGCATGCGAGAGGCACGGGGATCGATACCCCGCATCTCCAATTTTTTTTGTATGTTTTGTAAATCTACAGAAAATTGAAAAACGACATGAGACAAAACAAACAAAACGAAACGACATCAAATGATAAACAACTACATGAATCTGCAAGAACTGAAAACGACAATATTCAACAAAAACGAGGTGAATATGGTAATCGGCGGTTAACCTGAAGAAAGGGTTTACAATAAACTAAACAACGCGATGTACAACTAGAATTGTGTCTCAAACAAATATCATCAATTTAAACTGCAATTATCATTATCTAAAAGACGGCACGCACTTGAGAGAAAACGACAATATTCACTTGAAGAAACGATAACAATAAGTAGCTTAAATCAGAGAAACGACAAAGGTGCATGAAAAACGACACAAGTAGCTTAATCAAACAATATCAACTTGAAGGGGAAAAAAAAGGGGGGGAAATGTTAAAGAACGAAAGCGAAAATTAAAGAGTAAGAAAACGACCAATAGCCTAAAGAAACGACTAAAATGGGAAAACGATATTAGTGTAAGGAACCAACATGCACCAAACGACACAAAATGTAAAAAAAAAAAAAAAAAATACATGGTTTTCCATTGTTTTTATTCAGACATATTATTTATGTCATTCCGCGATGTACAACTAGAATTGTGTCTCAAACAAACATCATCAATTTAAACTGCAATTATCATTATCTAAAAGACGGCACGCACTTGAGAGAAAACGACAATATTCACTTGAAGAAACGATAACAATAAGTAGCTTAAATCAGAGAAACGACAAAGGTGTATGAAAAACGACACAAGTAGCTTAATCAAACAATATCAACTTGAAGGGGAAAAAAAAGGGGGGAAAATGTTAAAGAACGAAAGCGAAAATTAAAGAGTAAGAAAACGACCAATAGCCTAAAGAAACGACTAAAATGGGAAAACGATAATAGTGTAAGGAACCAACATGCACCAAACGACACAAAATGTAAAAAAAAAAAAAAAAAAATACATGGTTTTCCATTGTTTTTATTCAGAAATATTATTTATGTCATTCGCGCTATTGTGACATTTAAAATGTAAATTATTTATTTTTAAGTGGAGTAGTATAAATAATATTTTTTACCAAATTAAGTGGTATTTCTGATTTTTTTTTTTTTAAAAGAAACTGCTAAAAATTTTTAAAAATAAGCTAAACAAGCGAGGATGTATCTTAGATGGCAAGGCACTCACTTAGCATCCAAGACGTAGACGCGCATATCCCTTTGTTTTTCCTTATCTCACTGCGACATCCATTCTCATAACAGTTTTATTCCAAACTTTAGACTACAAACTACAATGCAGCAGAATGCCAGGCCTCAATTTCTTTCCGTTGCAGAACAAGCAACTAATGGTGTGGCAGCCGGCAAAATATATCATGCTCCACAAGAACAGCAGATTAGAAACCTTTGGCACAAAACTGCTAAAAATTTTTAAAAATAAGCTAAACAAGCGAGGATGTATCTTAGATGGCAAGGCACTCACTTAGCATCCAAGACGTAGACGGGTCCGCATATCCCTTTGTTTTTCCTTATCTCACTGCGACATCCATTCTCATAACAGTTGTATTCCAAACTTTAGACTACAAACTACAGTGCAGCAGAATGCCAGGCCTCAATTTCTTTCCGTCGCAGAACAAGCAACTAATGGTGTGGCAGCCGGCAAAATATATCATGCTCCACAAGAACAGTAGATTTGAAACCTTGGCACAAATTTTCAATCAACTAAATTGATGACATTTAGGAGTTGATTGTATTCCAAATTCAAGAAATATGCCTGGAATTTTTATATTTGAGTATATAGTGTGTATATACCGTTATATATACACAACAAAAACAAAATAGACGGTATCCGTCATGTGATAAAAAATGCTATAAAACAATGGGGTAGAGAATGATTCTCATTTCAGTTTATCTCATTCGATTCACCTATATGATAAATATATCATGCTCCACAAGAACAGCAGATTAGAAACCTTTGGCACAAATTTTCAATCAACTAAATTGATGACATTTAGGAGTTGATTGTATTCCAAATTCAAGAAATATGCCTGGAATTTTTATATTTGAGTATATAGTGTGTATATACCGTTATATATTCACAAAACAAAAACAAAATAGACGGTATCCGTCATGTGATAAAAAATGCTATAAAACGATGGGGTAGAGAATGATTCTCATTTCAGTTTATCTCATTCGATTCACCTATATATATGATAAAAAATAATAACTTAAATGAACTTAGATTAATCAAACATGGTATTGCATTTGGTTTTCTTTTAGAAAATTCGCTTGAGGCATTTTGTCTACCCTTCATTTAGGAGTTGATTGTATTCCAAATTCAAGAAATATGCCTGGAATTTTTATATTTGAGTATATAGTGTGTATATACCGTTATATATTCACAAAACAAAAACAAAATAGACGGTATCCGTCATGTGATAAAAAATGCTATAAAACGATGGGGTAGAGAATGATTCTCATTTCAGTTTATCTCATTCGATTCACCTATATATATGATAAAAAATAATAACTTAAATGAACTTAGATTAATCAAACATGGTATTGCATTTGGTTTTCTTTTAGAAAATTCGCTTGAGGCATTTTGTCTACCCTTATACTCCTTAGAATTTCAAAATTTCCCAAAAAAAAAAAAATGCATTGAAACCTTTGTAGTTTACTGAATCTCATTTAAAGATTAAGGCCGGGTTTATGTAACCGTGAAAGAATTAATGAGAACGGTAATAGGATTTTTTAGTGTTTATTTATATATTTAATGGTGTAATGGGCAACAATCACGTTCTCTTTCTAGTGTTTACTAAATGCCATTGAATTACATATGAATTTAGACACTTATTCTTTTATTTTGTGGGGCACATAAAATTCTCATTATAGATTTTGCAAGTAAATGCATGCATTGTTAAAAGGGAAAGGAAATCACTTCTTATTTTTCCTTTCCCTATTGTTGAAAAAATGATTTGGAGGTACCATTTTGAGACTTAATTTCAAGTAAGATCCACTTCTTTTAATGACGTGTAATATATATTCATGTTCTCCACCATGAGGAGATCAAAATGACATATTCGTAAGCTCAAAGTGATGCATAGGTGAATGAGAAATTAACTCTCAAAGTGCTCCCATAAAATTGGAAAAACTAAAGGCTAACCCCATGCCCCATATGAGAAAGAGATAAAGTCATCGTCTCCCATAAGCCTTATAAAAGAGACCCTCAACTCCTCAATTGGGACATACCAGAATTTTATAGTAATTCTTCACTCTCACAAGTTCTAGTATTTTTAGGTTACTTGATGTGATAAAGTTTGAAGGACTCTTCAGTTCTGTAGGTGAAATTCAAGCCAACAATGGCCATGCCAGCAATACTTTTCTTGAAAAGCAACGCCTCGTGAGCTTCTCTCTGCCCGGCCTCGCCAGATAATCCTAGTCCGGCACACCGTGAGAGAATGGAACCTCCACGATAGCGTGTACGATAAGAATGCCTATTTGAAAATCTGGCTCACAGAAAATGAAGAGGCTCATGTGCGGGAAGACGATTAGAAGAACGAGATAGAGAACTAGAAGGTTTTATCATTGTAATTAGAGTTTCTATAATTTCCTACTATTATTTCAGTTTCTATTGTAAATCAATTATCTATAATTTGTTATTATTGTGTTTTTCTTATTTTTAGTTATTTTATTCATCTATATTGTTTATGTGACAAAATGAACACGCCTTTAAGTTTCTTCTCTAGTAAAAAAACAAAAACAAAAAGGTTTTTGTAGATCAATATTACTAATTGTTTGTGTGATTCTATCTAGATCATATACAGATCTGTACATTGCATGGTTGCTCTACTACATATGCTAGTTTTGGATTGGAGTATGGCTAATGAAACATGATTAGTCAGGCTCTTCGTCGTTCACAAAAGCGTCCCAAGGTTCCATTCCATGGTGTGAGCCGAAATGCTGCTGTTAACTCATGGCATAATCAGTTTTGAATCCGAAGTACTACGCTCATCATCAAAGTGTGTGAAGAAGGATGTCAACATTGGGCAATCATAGTTCAGCTCGCCGGGTTTTGCGAATTTTTGCCTTGATTAGAAGTCAACAATCACCAAAAGTCAGGCTAAAACAGACCCTCCATAGCATTTGGGGTTTTGTTGCCTATCAAATAACTTGGACTGAATAGACTGAAAGGACATATTAAACTTCTTACCATTCCTGATCAGCCAGCATATCATCTGTCAAACCAAACTTTCTCAGCTCATCTTCAGTGTGATGCATTGCTAAGCTATACCTGTTGACATCATAGAATAGATTTAAACAAAAGCATAATAAACCCGAGAGAGAAACTAAATTACATAATTCAAAATTTGGAAAAAAAAAAAAAAAAAAAAAAAAGAAGCCCAGTTTTAATTTACAGATATTTGACTGAAGCTGCGCTAATGACACCCTTTTAATAGTGTCATTGTAACTTGTCCTATAATCCAATGATGTAAAGCTTAATATAAGATGATTAATACCTTCCGCCATAACCTTTCTCCATAACCATCATCCTTCCATTGCCAAAGTTATTCAATCCATGGAATTGCTCCACAGTCCATTTGTACCATCTCATCAGGAACACTCTTAATGTCAGACCATGTGAAACGATCACCAAGTTCATGCCTGGATTCCTATCCCCCGGCGGCTGAAACCGCCCGATATCGATGTCCGATCTCAGTGTTTCCCTAAATCCTGCATTACATACACACTTCATTCAATTATATACATATATATATATATATATAAAAAAGAAAAGACTTCTTTCTTTTTTTTTTTTTTTTTGCTTTCACTGAACAAAAATTTCCGACATTTGCTATAAACAAAGATAAGAAAACAAGAAGTACCTGTAATTCTGTCATAAACATCGGCAGCGGATTCTCCATCAGGAAAACGGAAGAAGAAGCGACCGTAAAGATTTCTGAGTTTTTTCTCAACTCGCATCTTCTCTCTGTCCTGAAAATTTCCTTTTTTTCCCCGAGAAAATTGCAAATTAGTTCCAAACAATTCGATTCCTACACGACAAAGTTCAACTGAAATAACTCCCGGAAGTTCAATCACACAATTCTTTCCATTTTTTTCTTGCATTTAGGTCTTCAAATTGAGATTCATAGAGAGAACAGAAAAGAGTACCAAAATCTTGCTCGCGGAGGCGAGGCTCTTCTCGAACGCCGGCGATTCTTGAGCGCTCAAAAGCCCGACCTACGAAACGAAGAGTCTCGCGAGTTCTTCTGTAAGGAGAGACATAGAAATAGACCTTCCAGCTCTCGATCCCGTCCTTCTTTATCATTTCTCTAATCGCTTTCCCACACTCCCTTGCCTGAGCCTTCCCTTTCTCCGTGAGCGAGATCTTCGGATCTGCAGTCCGAGTGTACACGCTCTCATCGACGTTCCCTTCACTCTCTCCGTGACGAACCAGGATTATCCGGTGAGGTCGCGGCGGCGGAACTTTTCCGGCGACAGAGGAGCTCGCAAGGCGTTGTTTCTCGGGAAAAGTACTGCTAGCGTAGCCATTGTTGGCCTGGCTAGAGCTACAGCACTGGATCTTGGTGGCGCTTGGGATTCTATGACGTGAAAAGGGGATTGCTGGTGTTGGGGCGAAGGTGACAGAAAGAACTGGCATGGTGTTTGTTTAGCGGGAAAATTACAAACAGAAAGAAGTTAGTTCCATTGATAGCATTAGCCATTAGGGGTTGAACTCGGTCGTTCTCTGACTTTTCATTTCCATATGATAAGTGAGGAGTATTGACCACGATCCTACGTGGAATTTTGAATGATAATTAAAGCATGCATATACTTGGAGAAGATAATGTAGTTTTCTTTTCTTCTTCCTTTTTGTGGACGAAAATAATTGTAATTTTGGGACCTTTTTTTTTTTCCCGAAACTTAATAAGTCAAGTATTTTTATACTCCTTTTTTTTCTCCCTTTGATGCAACTTCTTAAATTAGAAAGACATATTGTTATTTCAAAAAAAAAAAAAGTTTAATAAAAAATGTTAATTTCAAATTTGACACGCGAATAATAGTGATGGTTTCATTTTACCTTCTATAAATTCAAATGATATATGGAATTCTCATATGAGTTTATCATAATAAGTTGCGTAATTAAAACCATTAAAAAAATGACCTTTACAAACTAGTTATGTGAACCAAACGAAACCGTTTAAAAAATTGATGTGTCAATTGGCAGAAGTGTTCAAGTTACATGCTTCTAATTATAAGTTCTGGATATGAAATTTTGTTCTATTTTGAGTTATAAAAAATAAAACAAATAACTTTTATTTGTTAGAAGCCAAATTTAAAAGTAATGCTAAAAGACAAAACAAATTGTGGAGCTTATTAGCCTCTCCCTCTACTTTCATTTTGCTATCTTATGAATTTAAGATAACTTTAGACTGTGGAATATTTTCTTTTCTTTTATAATATGTGGGAACTACGATGGAAGTAGTATGGGTACACAAAAATCTCCACCTACCACAATTTTAGTCAAGTAAATTTTCTAACATAATATTAGGCTCCGTTTATTTCACCGATTCGATACAGTAAAAAGCTCTCAGAAATAGTCACATCTAATTTTTTTACTATAGTAAAAATTTTTCACATAAAGTCACATCTTAACTCGAATCAACGAACTAAACGGATCCTTAAAGTATTACATGGCTGAATTTAAATCTTCACTACATTTTCCAATCAGTTTGCAAACCACTTGTACTTTTTTTTTCTTTTCAATTCAGAATCACAAGTTGTAATTCTAGAGGGTACTCGTGAACATACTTGAGAAACACGGGCATATGTGTAACAAGAAGTTGTATGTCCGTTTGTATCATTTTTTTTTTCCCTTGCAAGCACGGTATGAGACATGGGTTTAATATAATTGACTCTAGCGGCCTCTAGGATTTGTTTTCAGTCATGTTGTACAAGCTTAACGTGTATAATTGTAATTGTGTTAGTATATATATGGTGTAATTATAAGAAATTTCTAGCTAGGTGGTTTTCATAAGCATGTACAACACAAGCTTTGGCGTGCACGTACAGCAAGAATTTAATTTTTTTCTCACCATATATTAATACAAATGTGTGGCTCAAATGAGAAAGAAGAGTAAGAGAGGGGGACCTTTTCATGTTTAGTTATTCTCGTGATAAAAAATCAGTGCTAGAAGCCAAAAGGAAATTAGATGAACTAATGAAATGAAGTTAGTTGGGTTCTTTCCTATCAAAAAAGGTTTTTGTCCTTAGGCCTTGGAGAGAGAGAGAGAGAGAGAGAGAGAGAGAGGATCAATAATACACCATTGTTGTCCCTTGTGCCTTTGGTCCCAACAAACATGTGTGGTGCTATGAATTGCTTTTAGAATGGGTTATTATAGACAATCTTATTCCCTCCGCAAATTGACTAGAACTGAGAATACAAAAATGTGCCTCGTGCGTTTAGATTCCGTTTGATTCTTGGGAAAGTCATGAGAAAGGAAAATTATTGCATTTAAAACAAGACGTAATTATTTTCTTAGTTTTGTAATGTTTGAAAAGTTTATTTCCCTTACGTATATATCTTCCGAGAAACAAATAGTCTACTAGAGGGGAGAAAAAAGTTTGCTTCAGTCTTTAAAGAGAAAGGTCATGAATAGGTAGGCTCAGATAGTTAGGTTCTTTACTTTTGACTCCTTCCTTTCTGTACTTCTAAGTTCTAAGTTTGAAATTTTGAATCACTAAACGGCCCGTTCTTTTCGCTGATTTGAGTTTAGAATTTAAGTTTTGTTACAGTAAAAAGTTCTCACACAACATCACATCTCAACTCGAATTAAAAACTCGAATTAGCGAACTGAACGGGTAGACCTGTGAGATTTATGTCAAAGTTAGTTTAAGAGGTTGGATAAGAAGTTGGGTACGTGTATGTGCATGTGTTTATCAGAGTTCGAATTTTAATAATTTTTTTTTATTAATAAAGTGGGAACCATAAATTCCGTAGCGTATGAAAAAATAATAAGGGTTGTGAGATTTATAAATACTTCTAACTAATATCTTTATGTTGATAGCTTCGACATGGTGATCTTAAATTTCCCAAGACATTATCTTCTTGTCACTTTTAAAAATAATTTATAAAGCAAGTTCTCCAACGAAATTGGACACATTACGTTCACCTTTAATTATGGGATTAGGTATCACTCACTATTCTCTCTGCCCAAAATGATCGAAAAAATTAGTTAGTAGTTAAGCATACACAATCCATATAATATATTTAATGACTCTTGAGTCTTGACTGTTGCTTTCCAAATCTTCAACTTGTGCATATATGATGTAGAATGCTGGGGCTGAAAAAGAAAAGCCTATACTAAAAGTTAAAACTGCTCTCAAGCATCAATCACTTATTTTGGGAAAATAAATTCTTTTAATAAACTAATTTTCTATAGAACCTTCCAATAAAAAATAAAAGAAACATAAATCCCATATATATTTGCTACGGAATATATCATGTGTACACAAAACGTCATTTCCATGATACATAGGCCCTCAATCAAATCAAGGACAGTCGACTAAGTCAAGGTTTTGTGGATGACTTTTCAATAACTTTCTTTCTTCGGTTGTCCATTCTAATAGGGCCAAGTGCTGCTGGGTCTTACATATATGATCATGAATCTTTTTGATAAATCTAGATATATCAGTAATAGTTTAGACGGACATTGAATGTTAGATGAGATAATTACCGTATCGTTCACTTTATAAATTTGAGTTTTTAATTTAAATTGAGATGTGATATATTTTTAAAATTTTTTACTATAACAGAAAAAATTAAATGTGATATTTTCTGAGAATTTTTTACTGTAAAAATTTAAAACATAGTTCGAATCGGTGAAATGAACGATGCCGACATAAGAATATATATACTTCCTATTTTTGTTTCTTTTTTCATAATTTATTTTCTATTTTTAGAAAGGAGAGAAAAAGATAAGATGCCCTTAATTGGGCCAAATTTACTTTTGAAACATAGTTTAAACATTTTTTAAAATTCAAAAATAAAAACTCATTTTAAAAAAAAATTATGTTTAGTTCTATTTTTTTTAGGAAAAATTGTGTTTAATAGTTTTTAGAAATTATTTAATGATATTTTTATCTTTTTACTTCGTTCTTCCTCCAAAAATGTGTTAGTGATTAAATAAACAATTATTTTATCAAATTTAAAAGAAACCTTTGTAGTTTCTGAAAATTAAAAAAAATAAAATTGGGAAAATAAAGTATGTACCTTTGTAGTTTCTGAAAATAAAAAAATAAAATTGGGAAAATAAATTATGTACTAAAAGGTATATTTATTTCATTAACCGGCTGCTAAATCTACATCTATTTAATTTCTTTAAAATGTAACAATAAACTTGGTTAAATGAAATGGTCAGGGAGTGTTATTTGTACCCACTGATATATACACATTAATAACAATCCTCTACAAATAAGAAATAGTTAATAGCCATGTGTCAAGTGTTTGTGTATTTTTATCTGTTTTTTTTTTTTTTTTTTTTTTTTTTTAAATA